ATGAAAATGTAAAAGAACACTTGGGTGAGGCATGGAGCCTTATGCATGACATGATGATGGTGTCAAACTATTCTCTAGGCAAAAGGGAATCATTAAAGAACTTTTTAAGGTAGTAATAATGGCTGCCGTTTCCAAATATTACGGCAACAGTGTATTGAGATGAACACTGAGAGAGAGACCAGTGAGATACAGTGTCTGTGCCAGAGAAACTATGACATACAGAAGGCTTGCAGTAATCTACTTGAGTAATCAAGAGGTCTAAACCGAGCCCGTTAGGAAAAGCTGGGAGAGAAGCAGAGGGTATGAGACTTGTTATGGAAAAGCTGGATTCTCAGGAGACTGGTCAGTTTGAACACTAGAAAGCTTGAAGTTTATGATTAAAAATTGAAAGGCAATTGAATGACTTTCAATTACAGGTACTAACATAAAAATACTAGGAAATAAAGTGTTGAGAAGCAGACATTCTACAAAATGTTTGGGTTGTTAGAAAGAACATTTGAAGAATTATTATTTGTAGCCAGTAGGTACTATTAAGCTACTTAAAACCAGCCTGAATGTTTAAGTAAGATAAATATTTCTCTTCAGAAGAACAGAACAATTTTGTTTATTAACTTAATTAGGAAGTGTCTTTAAAAAAAAGAAAAAAAAGGATAAGTGTTACATTAAAGCTCAATCCATTCCTGGTTGAGCTATAACAAATTATAAATTAGCAGATTGTGAAGTAATGAGATTTAAAAATATCTAGTCTTAATCTCTATTGCTTGAATTTAAATTTCTCTCTTATTTGTTTCTCTTTGGAGATGAAATAAAACTGCTTTAACCTTATATTTAGGATGTGGTTCTAATGGAGAGTACACATGAGTGTCTTCTGGATTTACTACTTAAATTATAAATAAATTAACATTTCCTCTTGGACAAAATCTCTTTCCCCATTAATCCTAGTGTTTTGACAATACCCTGAATCCCTCTTTCAAGTCTTTTCCAATCATTTTAGAGCAGTCTGTCAGGGTTATTGATTAATCCTCACTCTATATAAAGCAAAGCAGTCATAGGCTTTATTCCCATTTCACAGATAATTTATTTATTTAGGCAAAATTCTCTAACACATAATGCCATTCAAAAGTAATTTTTATACAAAACTTATTACATGTATTCTTGGTTGTCAGTTATAAAATTGGAAAACTTTTCTGCTGGCTATGCTTTTCTGCAACTCAGTTAAAGATACTTGAGGCTATAACCTGAAATTTAGTATATTGTTGGTGATGTAGTGACATTTATCAAGTATAGAGCAATCCCATATTACAATTTCTATGATATTCTAATAGTCCAGTCTGCTTTATAAAAGAAGTATATTCCAGTGACCATTTAGGCTTTAACAAGCTAAGGAGGGAGCGCCTGGGTGGCTCAGTCGGTTAAGCAACCAACTCTTGATTTTGGCTCGGGTCGTGATCTCACGTTTTGTAGTGTGGAGCCCCACCTTGGGCTCTGTGCTGTCAGCACAGAGGAATTCTTTCTACTTGGAATTCTTTCTCTCTCTTTCTACCCCTCCCCCGCTCATGCACTCTCACTCTCTCTTTTTCTCTCAAATAAACAAACATTAAAAAAAATATATCTTAAGGAGTATAAAGGAATGAGGGCCAGTTTTAAGAACATTTAAATCGGTAGCAGGGCTCTAGTCTCAGCTCTGCCACTGGCTGGACTTCTTTGGGCAGTTCACAGAGAGCTTTCTGCACCCACTCGCACATCTCTAAATTAGAGGTCATGGTCCCTAGATCTACTTCATCCAAAAGATGTTGTGTGAATGGATGCAATCATTTGTCTTCCGACAATGAAGAAAAGAAAAACACTTCCTATTTTATACCGATGATGCATAGGACTTGCTCTGCTGTAGATCCTCTACTGGTTTTTAATAATAAGTAAAAAGTAATTTCTGAATGTCTACTTTTTATAATACGTACAACTCTAATTCATTGGATTAACTGGTTTCTGATCCTTGCAAAATGCTTGGGTGGCAATAGAAATTTCCTCCAGCTGCTACAATTTCCTCTTTGTGTTCATAAACAGTGAAACTAATGCTACCCATTAGAGGTGAAGTAATTCACTGTGTCTGCTAGATACTCTGATCTAAGGCACAAATAAATTCCAAGTTACTTCCCTCTGCCAATTGCAATCTTTTTTAATCCCTCCTCAACTCCACCAGAAAGGCCACTCTACTATACCAAAACAACTATATAAAACACCAAAATAAATGACTCGGAGGTGGGACTGCTTGCGTTAATTTGTAAACCCCATTATAACATCCAAATTAAAATAAAAGCAAAGTATGTGTGAAATATATGTATTTACAGAGTTTACAAATAGTGAATTAACATTGGAACTTTGGTAGGAGCTCTTAGATATTTCGAGATGCTGATATTTACATTCCGATCTGAGAATGGGCCTATGCTGTCGGTACTTCAGAGCTTCCAGCTAGCCTGCAGCATGAACCCAATATCTGTCTACTAGAACTTATACTAAAAGGTGGAAACTCTTGTTATTGCCTAGGCTATGAATCCATGGATATCTTTATTTGAAGGACATGAATAGCTTATTAACTTACAGTCTGCTTTTCTTTCATCTGTGAACACTGCATCTTCCTTCATTCAGGCTGGACCCCAGGAGCCTGGCACATTTTTTATACAAGAGAGTAAATTCCCATTTGGCCAATGCAAAGTTGTCCTTGGAATCCACATCTCTGGCCACAGTTGTGTTTATTCTTAGTATCTAGTTTCAGTGATCTTTTTTTGTGCCATTTTGGACTCTGATCTGTTTGTTTCATTTACTAAGTTTCCCATTACGGAATGGTGAACAGGGCTACGAAAAGGTGGCATAATGTGGTGAGGCTCAGCACTTCCTGGCCCTATGGCACTTAATTACTACACTTTGCTTGCCAACTATTTCTTGGCATCTAATTTAATTTGGGGACTTGCCTAAGCATTTAATTGAACTTGAAGAACTCCTTTCAAATATTTATACCCACTTTCTCTTTCTCCTCCTGCCATATCATCAATAATTCTGCATCACATTTTAGATCAGGTCCACTTTTATTTTTTTCCAAAATGCTTGCCATTCCCCCTTTTCTATTAAGTATATTGCTCATGCACCAAATCCTAATACGAGTTCGTTTTTAAAAACATATAGTTTGCCCTCCTTTTCTTCTAAACCTTTTCCTGCCTATTACAGCAGAAGAATTCTATACTTTCTCTGTCCATAAAGCTTTTATTCTCCCATTTTATCCAAGCTGCATCTCACCCCTCTGATAGGTTTCTTGTATAAAAATAGGCAGCACAAAGGAAAGAACAATGGATTCCTTATTCTGGTCACAGCCGCATAAGCTTCAATATTCTTGTCTCTGACCACGACTCTACCCACTCAGTTCTGTTACTCTCAGTTATGTTGAACATGTTCTTGAATTTTGTCAACACCTACAATGTCATGATGAGACTCTTCTTTTCCCAACATGTTAGTATTCTCCTGGTTTTCTGTCCTTCTGAAGCTAGCATCGGCCCCATAGGTCATGATTTTACTTAGCCTTTTGTAGGTGTCTTTGAGCCCATATCAGTGCTGGAACAATTCAATCATATCCCTTCCTCACACTCATACAAATATACACAGTGCTGTATGGGAAAGTACAAGTCAGTACCTCAATATACATGTGGTTTCCAACTGCCTTTGGAATTGCAACGCTATTCGTCTATATTTTTCTTCAGCCCCCCCTCCTTTTTTACTTTTCTCATTGCTCTTACCTACCTTTTCCAGACACTATTCAAAGTCCTGAAATCACAGAACCAGTATTTCCAGTCACAATTTTAGCTGGGAATTTTCCCTATGAAATCCTTATGTTAATAATTGATAAATAATGATTTTATTCACAACACCTGCAGTATTTTGAAAAGTGTAGTGCCAATGCAAACATTAGCAAAACAAATGAATATAATAGACAATCCAGAAATAAGTGCAATTGTATATAAGAAAATATTCAAATTAGTGGGAAAATAGATTATTCAGTAATGATATTGGAACAACTGGTTAGCCATTTGGAAAAAAAAATAAAGTGGGATCTCTTCCTCATTTCTTCCACCTAACAATAATAATGAGAATATACATAGTAATAATTCATTTTGCATCAACGCAATCATGAATTTACCCATAGAAAGTGATGTCTAAAATATTTATAAACTGGCTTTAGGGAAAGCCTTCTAACGATGTCATAAAACCTGCAAAGAAAAATTAAAATGTGGACAAATTTGATTACATAAAAACTGTGTTTTGAAAAACAAGACAAACATAAGCAAATAAAATGGAAAACCGGATGGCATGATTATGTCATTGCAGCATTATTTGTAATAATAAGAAATTAAGAACAGTCTATACATTCACCCGTAGGGGAACAATTAATTAAATCCCAGTGTATACCTATAATGAAATACTATACTAAAATTAAAACTGAAGTTGTATTACAGCCACAACATATTATTGTCAAGGAAACAAAAGGAAGGTACAGTATACAGTATTATAATATTAAATCAGGATGTATGTGTGTATGTACATGTATATGTGAAAATATATATGTGAATTTTTATAAGAAAAAGGTTGAAAGGGCCTGGATTATTGAGTTAATATAATATCTCACTGTCCATTTATAACATATTTTATGTGAGAGGCAGTATTCCGGGCAATTAAAAATACTATTTTAACCCAATTTATAGGCTGGGAACAGTCTCCGAAAGTGTGAGCAACTTGCCTTGAATGAGAAGGTAAGGCCGTGATGATACCAGACCCCAAGAACCTTACGCTTAGCCCGCTGTTTGACCTACCACATGACAGCAGATCCTAAAGAGAAGATAATCATTTCAATCCAACCAGTTACTCTCTATCTTTACTACAGCAAAGAAGGAAAATAATGTAGATTAATATACCAGTGTACACACTATAAAAGTTCTTTCTTTCTGACTATACAGAAACTGATCGTGAAGTACTAAAATAGGTACCAAATAAAGTACCTTCCACTGATTTATCTGCAGCCTTGCCAAGGAGTTAACACTGCTGGTGTGCTTCCTGACGCTGACATCTGTTGGTTTAATATAGGCATATAGGATGGATGGAGCATAGCCTAGGACATATGAAACAGGTAACATCTACCTCAGCTGTCTGAGAACAGCTACTGAAGAGATGTTTCCTCCTCAGCTCGTCATTCAGTTCCATGAATCTGATCTCAGCCTCCTGCCCCCGCCCCCAAAGATAAACTTGATTCACACAGGGTATCTAGGTAGAGTGGGAGTAATATGGGGAGTGGGGATGGTTGCTGCTCACATCCCAAGTGGAGAGGAAGAGAAGGATCACTCATGAGTCTTTATCCGGATGACCCCTATTTAGGAAAGAGGCAGTTTACTGAGAGCTTTAGTGAGAAGTTTACAAGTCAAAGCTTCATTAGAAGAAAAGGGAATTCACACAAAATCTAGTACTGTTGAATTAAATCTAAGGATTACAGGTGTCACAATTACAAGAGTCCAGATAAATCCAAAGCGGTGAAGGGGGGAATGAATTTATTATTTATTAAAAAATCTCTGTGTTGTATGCAACTAGGTCCTTTATATACCTTATATGACATTTTAATCCTCACAACAGTGTTTACCTGACCCAAAATCTGTGCAGTAAGGAGCCAGCTTTGAAATATCTGAGAACAAAATGTACGAAACACAGAACTACCTCCCTATATTTCATTAGTTATTTCTCAGGTGATTATATAGAAAATCTCTGGCAAAAATATGGTATCTAGGTCAACCTTCTCATCCCCATGATATTTCATTCTATTAAGTAATGACACTGACGCTCCTATTTCTGATAAAAGTCTTTATTGGCGTTTGCTACCCTCCTTCAACTAAAGTGGTGTACAACGTCAAACTAAAGTTGATAAATGGCACTTTTATATTGCAGTTCAGGTAAACAGTGAAAGTCAGAAGAAGGTAAATGCAGCTGTTCCACTGGGCGTGAATCTCCAAGCACATAAGTCGGCTGTGCTATTTTGCAGACTGTGTGAAGGCTTCACTGCAGCACAGCTAGCCGGGACTGCTGTGCAGAAAGTCTTTTTACAACACCTTTTATATTACCGGAGTAGGTCTATTAAAGTAACATGCTTACTTTTTAGCAGGTGACATTTGGAATAAAAGTACATGATAGGTGATAGAGCCAGGGGTCGAGGTTAAAGTCACCACTGCGGATGCTTAAACCAATTATTTTAATAAACTGATTATCAGTTGTTAAAAAATATGCAAGAATCTCCAGAGCCTGGTTTTTCTTCATATTTGACAATTGGCTTTAATGTATGTGTTAGAAAACTACTGTACTGGTTATAGATACTTAGATTAACAGATTTAAACCTTTCAGATTAAACATCAAGTGGGTACTGTCACAGTATTGCAAATATAAATATTCAACGTATGTTTTGATCATCTAGGCTGGAATTATCTTCAGAAGAAACAGAACACGAAGGATATTCATAAGGATAAATTCCTAAAATTGCAATATATATGTATATATGTATATGTGTTTGTGTGTATATATATACATATATAAACAAAGTATGTATATATATTCATTGCTGTTGTTAAGCTACCAGTTTAACGGTTCTCTAAATTTCTTATTTCTTTTTTCTTCTAGTTCGTGTGAGATCGTCCATAGCTCACACTATCTGTGTATAATGAAATATGAAGACATTTCTTACTGCACTGTTAACTGGGGTCATTTTTTTTTAAGAAATTGAGGGACAACATATGCTTGTCTAAGCATGTTATGCAAATTATTGGCATAAAAGGATTTTTAACATGTAGGTAGTGTAAAACATGTCATAGTGACAATTCTTACATTCGGTATTCATTTATCCCGACAATTACCATGGTTATAACGCCTTTCTACATGTCGCCATTTTATATGCATGTTGAAAAGCAAGGCATGCTCATGTACCTGCAAGATATTGGAATTATATCCTCAACACTTTATCTTCAAGTTGGGGCTTGGACTCTGTAATTTTCCTCTGTTTATAAAATCGCATACATGAGATACCCCAGCAAGGTGAGTTTGTCTATTCAGAATGTTTGAAGCGGAAATATGTTAACACAGAAGGAATTTTCCCTCTGCTGATTTTAGACTCAGTCACATGGTCAGAGGCTGGAATTTATACCAGACGGTCTCAGAAATCTTCTAGTAGCCATATTATTGCTTTCTTCAAAAGACAACTGCACATTGCCTATTTTCTAGCTACCTTTGCAGCACTGTTCTGCTCCCAACACACAATCCCCATTTTTAAAATGTACGTTACTAACAAGTTTTCTGTTATAAAGCAGAACAGTATGAACACCATCTATGCAATCTGCTATTCTGTGTTGTCAGATATGTCTTTTAAAGGAAAACTCTACAGCAATCAATCACGTGACACATAAGGTCTCTCTCTTTTTTCTAAGAAAAGAATACCATATTTCATCTATGAAGGAGGCAGCATAAAATGCTACCAGCATATCAGTATGATTTTTTAGTCATTTGCAAATGCACAATTTTCCACATTTGCTGAAATAAAGTCTCAGAATAAATGCTTGTCAGTTGGAACAATTGTGTGGGGATGGGACAGATGGGCAGCTGTTTCTGTTTTAATCCCAGATTTTGTTCTTTTACTTTAAATAATGTTGAAAATGTTTTTTTAATTGTGAAAAAATAAACATAGGCCGTTTTTAAAAAAGAAAATAAAGTGGTAGTTACTGAACTATAATGAAAGAAAGATAGTTCTCATAATGTGGATTAAAAATCTCTAGCTCTCTTAACTGAAAACAATGGATTTCACTGGCTGTACTCAGCTGATACTGATCATTATTCGTACTATAATTGATATGACCAACTGTCTTTTTAGTTTTATAGGAATACACAAAAGTTCCGGTGAAGTCAAATATGCATGATCAACTGGGCATCATAATTTCACTGTTAGTGCTTATGGATTTTTCACATTTTAATCACAAACATGAACTCTTTTCTTAGCTGTACACTGCATTATGAATTAATCTAAACTAAAACTATTTTAAAACCCTTTTGTTCCCATAAAAAAACCACGTAAGAATGCCTCTATTTTTAAATCAGCATTTCTTTCTTCTATCATAATTACTTCCTCATAATATGAAAGAATAAAGATTTAACTAATGCCCTAACTAAATAGGCCAAAGATTATAAATAATGACTTTTCACTAGGTACAAATCTTCTGTAATTAGAAAGGGAGGCAAATAATCTGTAATGAATGAACTGTATTTAATATGTAAGTACTGAATATTGAACACAGATGCCCCGACATTGGGCTCAAGTGAAAAAACAAACAAACAAACAAACAAAAAACCTAAAAAGCAAAAACAAAACAAAACAAACAAACAAACAACAAAAAAACCCACATTTATCTCCTTTTCTGGACAGAAACTCCATGTTCCAGGAAGGTAAAACACTCAACTCAGAAAAGTACCACCACCAAAAAAAAAAAAGGGGAATTTTTATTAGTTGAAAACCAAACTGCCTTTAATAGAAAGATTTTAAATAGCAAATAGGTCATTATCCCACTATGTTACTTGAGATTACTCCAGATATTATAGCTGACCAGAAACTATTTCTGTATCCTACTCAAAAATCCGAATTATTCTGACCTTCAGTTAAGTAAAACTCATTTCATTGGTCAGTTCCATACCATGCAGCAATGCTGATGTGGGATAATTTTATGTAGGAAATATAGTTCTATTGAATGCTTTTAATGGATTGAATCTGTTAATACAACAGTGGTTGATTAAAGAACCTATTTTAATATCTTAACTTTAAACAGATGACAATGCTTTACACTCTAAATTGTTAGAACCCATTTTTAATTTCTTTAAAACTGATAAGCCTCCCTGCCCTTCCCTAATTTCAAATTTAATTAAATCCACGACACCACCACACTGAAGAGAAAGGCCAGTTTTATTTACATAACATAACAATAGTAATAACAATGAATGGACTGCACTAAACCAACATCAGTCTTCACCACAAAATATTATTCTTGACCCCCTCAAAGACCAGCCTTTTTATCTACCCAGCCAGGAATAGCATTCAATTTTGTATTAAAATAACTACTGCGACAGAACTCACAAACGAACACATGTATTTTTGGAAGTAAATCAGCATATTCAACATCACAATCATCACTAGGATTTTTTTTTCATAAACTGAGTAATCTTCCATCTTAACCCACATCGGCAGTGCTTAAATTTTATGTTTTTTAGATACTATAAAAACTACCCACTTATTAAGCTCTCAGGATGGGCAATGAGGAAGGTAAGGTACAGATTACAAAAACCTGGGGCATCAGCAGGTTAAGGGGGCAAGATCAGAGAAATAAAAGTGGTGGAACCAGGGCTTTCAAGCAGTTCCTTTCCTCCCAGGTTATATTCAGACCTGAGGCCTGCCTCAGGCAGAGTCAAAGGAGGAGTTTGCCTGGAGCAGACAGTCCAGAGGGAGAACCCCACTACTTTATTAACCAAGCAAGCACCGATTGTGGTTGCCTCAGACTAACATCTACTCACAGCCTGAGAGCTTTCGGACTCTTTGGATCATGTGTGCACGGACCACAAAATCTCTCTACATGCTTGCAGAGTTATGCACACGTATTGGTTACTTGAGAGTCAGAGTTACTGACTTCATGAGAGGCCCCCACCAAAGTGAAAGGCAACTCACAATGTCAGTTTAATATTAGACACTTAAAACTATGTTCTCCCTATACTGAATTTTCTAATCAATATCTAAGAGTACTTTTGGCTGTTAGTTCACTGTTTTCACTTTCACACAGCAATTCCCTTCCCATGATGCCCTTTACACACACACACACACACACACACACACACACACACACACCCTTCTCAGAGTAAAACCTGACCTCCTTTGTCTTGGATGGGATCCATCCTTCAAAGAGACCACATCCCTACTAGTGCTCACTCTATTTTAGTTTTTTTTTTTCTTTAACTCTTATTTCTCCTTGAAATATGTTTGAATTTCCAAAACCTTGAAAATTCTTCCCATTTGAAACTACTGATCCATTTTAATCACTGTCCTATTATTTGACATTATTTTACAGCTAAGATCCTTAAACAAGCAACCTACCTCCAGACCCCACTGCTCTTACAAGCATCCCTTACTTCCTTAATCTCCTGTCATCTGATTTATGGACCCATCAATATCCTGACACTGTTCAATTAAATCATTTTTCTAATGGAATTGAATTTCTTTATTCTGACCCTCTTCAAATTCTCCACTACACCTTATACAGTTTATCTCATTTTTAGTTTCCATGATATTGTCTGTGATTTTTTTTTCTCTGTATGTCTCACAAACTGGGCTTTTTCTTCTTTCTATGCTCCAATTTAGTGATTCTCTTTGTTGTCTATCTGCTGACTTTCCTCTACGCTTACATATTTTTTCCATTCAAGTGTTTTAATTATCTCCTCTATACCAAAATTCTTGCCTCCTGGACATCTTATTTCCTCCTTTCTCTCCTGTTCCATTCTCCAAAATTTATTATAGAGCCCTTCATTATTTATTTAAAAAGAAAAAAAAAAGAACTGTTCACACTTCTACCTATATGCCAGGCATTCCTAAAGGCACTGAAAATAGAGTAGTGAAAAAGATAAAAATAAAAATTACCTGCCCTCATGCAGTATGTCTGGTATTGAGGGAGAGAGATAATAAACAGGATAACAGTAAAACATTAAAATCATGGAAATGAGTGTTAACGGGAAAACATAAAGCAAAGAAGGGATATGTGAAATCTCAGGGGTGGGCTTAAAATTTTAAAGGCTGTCAACTATACACTACAGAGACCAATGCAGAAGCTAAGGCATCACTTTTAAAAATGCTGTAATGATTCAGGAGAGAGATGATGAAACCATGGACCAGACATAAGAAGAAGGAATCAAGATTAATACCAAAGTTTTTGATCCAATGCCTGGAAATATGTCACCACCACTAACCAATATAGGTAAGTGAGCAGAAACTGCATGCTAGTGGTAGGGTTTGAAGCATTTTCTGTGGGAGTTGTCTGATAGATAAATGTTATGTTGACTGGGCAGTTGGATGGATAGATTTGAAGTTAAAAGGAAGATCCCAGCTGCAGAATACAAATTTTGTTGTCATAAATATAAAAATGGTATTTAAATCCCATGAGAGGAAAATCATATGACTTTGGAAGTGAATAAAGGCAGGAAAAGAAGGTCAAAGAATTAGAGTTTAGAACAGAATTCAGAAAAATAAGGAGGAACCGGCAAAGTAACTGAGAAGTAGTCAGATATGTCAGAGAAGTGATGGACATTATGAGAAAAAAGTGATTCTAGGAGAAGGATATAAGTTGTGTCTAATGCTACAGATAGTACAAATATGAAAACTGGCAATTAAAATTACCAATATGAATGTCTTTGGTGACCTTGACAAAAGCAATTCCCATGGACTAGGAGAGAAAAACCTGATTACAGTAAGTACAAAAGAGAATGGCAAGAAGGAAACTGGTAACAGCAGACAGAGAAACTCCTCGAGAAGTTTTGTTTATAAAGGTAAAACTTGGGAACATAGCTGTAGAACTAAGTGTTATCAAGTGATGATGTTATGATGAGTGAATTAGTAGTATGCCAATATGGCAATGAGACAGAAAAAACATGATGTTGTTGGAAGTATGGAGAAATCCAGAACAGGCAAAAGAGTATGGTCTTTATGCACAGATGGAGACAGAGCCTGGGTAGAAACATAAATGAACACGGTAAAAGGAGGTACTTCGGAATATAATAGTATAGGTACTCTTAGGTGGGTGATGCATTACTAGGAACTTAAAGAAATTCTCTTTAAAATGCTCCAACAATAGCATTTGTTGGGGAATGCTAAGACATCAGCTGGAAATAAGAATGAAGGAGGAGGTATTGGCAGGTTGAAGAAATAGAAGAAATCATGAAAAATCATCCAGGAGAGTGGAAGGGAGAGTGGATGAAGAAAATATAGTATGCTTACATTAAGAAACTCCCTTGAAGCTATTGATAATTAATTTAAAGTGAGATCAGTTATCATAGCCGTGTATTCCATGTCATCGAACTGTATAGCTATAAGTGCATCACAGAAAGTTTTACTTTACTAGAGTTATAGTTTCATCAGGATAATATGATGAAACAAGAGAGCCATGAGGGTTGATGATATATGCAAAGGAGAGACTACAATGATTGAATACAAAATCTAAGGTCGGTATGGAGGAAATGAAAGATTATTAGGAGATGAGGGAAAGTATAAAGCTGGCAGGGTTGATGCTAACAAGGTCTCAGTGGCACTGAGATAAGGGTAGTGACTCAAAGATAGGAGTTGAGAATCAGAGAGTTGGATATTTAAAATAGAGTTGATGGAGAGTCATTGTGATTGGGAAAAAAGGGCCAAAGGAATAATCATGGAGGTAAGGTTCAGGTAGGGAAGGAAACACCATCATTTGGTGGGGGAAAGTCAAGGAATTGAGGAGCCAAAGCATTAAAAAGTTTATCTGTGTGGACATTGAAATCATTAAGAACTATGAAAGAAGGCGTATTAGAGAGCATGACAGTGACCCAGTGTGGTGTAGAGATGACTACTACAAACAGTGACATTGGCATAATCTAATGATAAAAATTGCAAAGTGGTGATCATTAGGGAAGAAGGAGGGAACATGACCTGTGAGCAGGACTGATTAATAAGGAAGACACCTATTCCATTCCAAATGTTTATTCATTCAGTTGCTCAACCACATTTTTTAGGTATGTGGGGTGTGATAGGCACTATGCTAAATGTTTATATTCACTGTCTAATTTTGATTCATGAAATAACATTATGATGTAGGATTATTATGTGCATTTTTACAGGTGACCAAACTGAGGTTCAATAATTTACTCAAGGTTATTCAACTATTGTTTCTTCTCTCTCATATTGTGCTTCCTTCATTCCAAAGTAATACCAGTGCAAGTTTCTTAACACTGAGGGTTGACCACTTTGGCGATGGTGGCGAGAGATGCTCTGCAGACCCCCTCCGTAGTGAAACAACTGATGGAAATTATACACATACACGAAAGAACTTTAAATATCTAGAAGCTGTCCCAGGGATCACAACAAATCCAAAAACATTTCTTTTCAAGAAAATGTACTGCAACAGTAGATTTGACCAAAAAAAGGGGGGGTGGGGTTTCCTGGGTGGCTCAGTTGGTTAAGCGTCCTGCTTTGGCTCAGGTCATGATCTCACAATTGGTGACTTTGAGCCCCACGTCAGGCTCTGTACTGACAGCTCAGAGCCTGGAGCCTGCTTTGGATTTTGTGTCTCCCTCTCTCTCTGTTCCTCCCGGGCTCACACTCTGTTTCTCTCGCTCTCAAAAACAAATAAAGATTTTTAAAATTAAAAAAGAATAAAGACAAAAAAAATAACAAGAGTCTGTGGCTATTGAGCCTTTACTGTCTCCCTCCTTCTCGCACTCTCAGCTCAGCATGACAGAAGGTCTACTTGGGCAGGGATGGCCAAGAAGATAGGACTCCCACTGCCCCATGCTCCTAGTCAAGGGTTATGATAGCTCCTTGGAAGGGGCAGGCCACCAGCATTTCTCACTTCCCCTAGCTCCATTTTATAGAAACTAAATTCCAAATGACTGCACCCAAGAGTTCAAGGATTCCCTTTCTTGTAGGTCAGATGTTTTACCCCAGATATAGCAGACTGACAATGATATCCTTTTCACACCCCAGGTTGCTTATACGGGGGAGATTTCACATGGGGAAAGGCGAGTGGAAAAGACAAGAGGCTACTTCTCCTCCTTAGTACCCCACCAATGAAGCAGGGATGTCAGTCTGAAGAAGTGGGCCACTGTCTCCACTTCCAGTTCTCGAGCAGTGGCTCAGAGATTTTTCCAAGGGGAGAGGTAGGCCATGACAGAGAGCTCCAAGGATCTCTCTTAAAGGAACTAAAGCTCAAGCCTAAGATTGCTCTCAAAACTAATGGAGATTTTGGTAGTAATCAGTAAGAAGAGGCTACGAAATCCGTGAGAGCAACAAGCAAGACCTAACACCAGCTAGTCTATAAGAGAGAATCAGCGTCAGAGAAAAATAGGAAGAACTCTCCTGGGATTAGAATAAACCTTAAAGGTTGGTCTCAAAACTATCCCTGTAAAGGGACTCAAATTTAATTGGCCTGTGTGGGCACTTTGATTCCAGAGTATCACAAAAAAACAGTAGCACAATTAGTTGGCAATTAGAGTAACCTAGTATTGGCGTGACCAGAGAAAAATAAGAAAAGTCTAAGACAGCCTGATAAAACCACTGTCATCTCAGGGTGACTGTGCATGCCCAACTTTGTACCCACTGAAGAGTGACACCAGAGACTTCATATTATGGGGAAACAGACTTTACTAAAATAGCTCAGGAACATCCACAAACAAGCAAGCAAACAGCAACAATAAAAAGCCCTTAAGAGGAGGGCAGATAGGATCTCGAGTTGCTACAGCATACTACTGAAAATTATGAGACAAGCAAAGAAATGGGGAAGTGTGACCTACACATGGAAACAAAAGCAGGCAATAGAAACTAATTGTGAGAGGGTCTAGTTGTCAGACTTAACAAAGACTTCAAAGCAGTCATCATAAATACGTTCAAAGAACTGAAGGAAATCACCCTTAAGTAAATGAAGGCATCATTACAAGGTCTCATCAAATAGAGAATATCAACAAAGTGAAAGAAACTTAAAAAGAACCAAACGGAAATTCTGGAGTTGACAAGATCACTGAAACAAAAAATTCTCTAAAAATTCTCAACAATAGATTTAAACAGACAAAAGAATCAATTAGCTTGAAAATACTCCCTCGAAGGACATTATGTTAAGTGAAATAAGTCAGACAGAGAAAAACAAATACTGTGTGATCTTATATGTGGAATCTGGGGGAAAAATAAAAATCTCATAGATACAGAGATTAATTGCTGGTTGCCGGAGGTGGGTGTTGGGAGTGGGAGAGATGGGTGAAGGTGATCAAAAGGTACAAAGTTCCACTTATAAAATAAATAAGCCCTGGGGAGATACTGTACAGCATGATAACTACAGCAAATACTGTATTGTGTGTTTGAAAGTTGCTAAAACAGACCTTAAAAGTTCTCATCAATAAGGAAAAAAAATTATTAACTATGTATACTGATGGATGTTAACCAGACTTATTGTGGTAGTCATTTCACAATAAGTATGTATATAGAATCATTATGTTATTCACTTAAAAATAATATATGTCAATTATATCTCCTTTAAAAAAATAGCATGGCAGGGCTTGAGTGTTGGTAACTGGTAAGATAACTAATTTAAGAGATATTTCATTGCTGCTGTGTACAGGACTTGGCATCTGATAGGAATAGAAATATTAACTTATAGTTATCCAATTATAATATATAAAGACCTTTTCATAATGAAAATAACAATAAAATAAGAAAGTTCTCAAATCAGTGAGCTAACTTTCTATCTTAAAATACTAGAAAAAGAAGAAAAAAAATTAAGCCTAAAGCAAGCAGAAGGGAAGAAATAATAAAAATTAGAGTGTTAATTAATGAAATGGAGAATAGAAGTATAATAGAGAAAATCAATGAAATTAAAAAGTGGTTCTTTGAAAAGATCCACAAAATTGACCACCTGTAGTTGGACTCAATGGAGGCATGAAAGAGGGGACATTACTACTAACCTTATAGAAAGAAAAGGATTATAAAGTAATACTATGAATAATTATATGCCAATAAATTAGTTAACTTTGATGAAATAGAAAAATTCCTGAAAAATAAAAACAAAATATTGAAGTTTAAAGAAATAAGAAACCTGAATTAGCCTTCAACAGGTAAAGAGATTGAATAAAAATTGGGGATCTCCAAGACCACTTTAAGGATTAGTGATTCACTAAGAGGACTTACAGGACTCAGCATATGATTGTATCCGTGGCTATGAGGATAGGATGGCTAGTGAGAGGATACCAAACATAATCAGCAAAGGGAAAAAGTACATGTGGCAAAGTCCAAGGAAAACAAGGCATAAGCTTCCAAGGGTAATCTCTCACGGAAGTCACAAAGTGCATGCTTAATTCTCCCAATAAAAAGTTGTGACAACGCACGTGAAATGTTGATTAATGAAAGCTCACGAGAGACTCAACATCCTGGGACTGGCCATTTAGACAGCATCTGCCTAGCACATATCAAAATTCTAGACTCCCAGAAGAAATGCAGGTGTTCAGCATAAACTACATTGTGTGCACAAATAGGTAAAGCAGCGTGAGCCACTCTTTATCAATTCTGGGAATGGTGGGAACCCTCCCCAAATCCAAGTTCCCAGATATCAGCCAAAGGCTATAAATTAGCCCCTCTAAGGATCTTAATTCTGCTATGTTAACTTTTTTCTGAACAATTGGAAATTTTCTAATTTCTGCACAATTAAAAATTTTTAAACTTTCTACAAAGTGAAGTCAATATCCAGTCTCCCCCCACCAACTGGTGAATTCTACCAAGCACTAAAAATAAATATATAGATAGATAAAACATTAATAACAAATTTTCACAAACTCTTCCAAAAAAGAGGAGACAACATGTCCCAGTACATTAGGTTAGGACCTAATAAGGTTACTTTGATATCAAACCTATAAAAACACATCACAAGAACAGAAATCACCAATTAACTCTCTAGTGAATAAACATGCAAAAATTCTCCAAAAAATCCTTTGAGTTGAGTCTTACTATTTGCAGAAGTTATGTTCTATAGAGTCACTGAGAACCCTGAATAAGTGAATAGTGAGCCATTGCTCATAAGAGAAATACAGGGTTAGGTTCTCAAGAGCCTCTGGTCACAACATTTTCATCAATTGATCAATAATAGCTTTGTTTTATGTGTGTTTGTGTTTAAAGGCACTTTATTTAATATATATTGCTGACTCATTAACGTTGAACTCGTGGCCAACAGCACTATAACTCATGCCTGAATAAACCTTATCTAACAAACATTTTCTATGTAAGCCACATCACAACCTTCCTGCACTTAGAAGCTTTAGATAGCATTTGAGAACTAATATTGGAAGCCATTTTAAACACCAAATCATCAACAAATGGCACAAATGCATGGAAAATATGACACTAAATAGGCCACAAAAGGATACTTGTTTAAAATACGAAAGATGAAATAGAAAGCAGAATATTGTCTTTTTCGGGGTGCCTGGGTGACTCAGTCCGTTGAGCATCTGACTTTGGCTCAGGTCATGATCTCACAGTTGGTGGGTTTGAGCCCCACATTGGGATCTGTGCTGACAGCTCGGAGCCTGGAGCCTGTTTTGGATTCTGTGTGTCCTTCTCTTTCTACCCCTCCCCCACTTGCTTGTACGCATTCTCTCTCTCTCTCTCTCTCTCTCTCTCTCTCTCTCTCTCTCTCTCTCAAAAATAAATTTAAAAAAAGAAAAGAATATTGTCTTTTTCAACTTCAACTTGAAATGTGCACATTGGTCAACAAAATTTTCAGTGCTCTGTGTATGTTCACAAATGACCACAAAAGTGCCACAAACATTGATTTGGGGGTTACAAGTAGATTTTAGTGAGTAAGTGAATTTGCAAATATGGAAACTGCAAATAATGAGGATTGATTGTACCAGCAAATAGATTCTAGCAACATATAAAAAGGATTATACAACATGAGTAAGTGGGATTTATCTCAGGAATGCAAGTTGGTTTAACATCTGAAAATCAATTAATATAATACATCATATTAATAGAAAATAGTACAAAAGCCAGATAATCATCTCAATAGTTTCAGAAAAATCATTTGACAAAACCCACATCCTTTCATGATAAAAACACTCAATGCACTGAAAATGGGAGGGAGTTTATTCAACCTTACAAAAGCACCTACAAAAAGGTACCATTATACTTAATAATAAAATACTGAAGAATTCTCCCTAAGGTTGGAAGCAAGAATATGTCCTGTCTCAGCCCATTTATTCAACATTGTACTGAAGTTTCTAGCCAGGTCAATTAGGCAAGAAAATGAAATAAAAGGCATCCAGATTAGAAAAGAAAACTAAGATTAACTCTTTAATCTTACAGGTGACATGATCTTATATATGGAAAATCATAAGGAAGCAGCTAAAAATATTATTAGAACTAATAAGTGAATTCTAGAT